GATCTGGTTCTTCCTTAGGAAATCTAATCCTTCAGCTCTTCTGATCATGCCCCCATCGTCCCTGGTCCTCTTCTCTTTCCTTCCACTTTTCTCAGCATTACAGCATTCTCCAGAAATAATTTTTGATGGTGTGTGTGGGAGGGAATACAGATGTAATGAATAGTAAATAAGTGTACCTAAGCATTTATTCTTGAATCAGTGTTTTGCATGCAAGTAATCTCAATTTTAATCTCCAGTAAGATAGTCCTATCTGGAAAGTCAGTTTAGTGTAGACCAGGGGTGGGGAACCTTGGCTCTTTTATGACTCGTGGACTTCAACTCCCAGAATTCCTGAGCCGGCATGGCTGGCTCAGGAATTCTGAGAGTTGAAGTCCACGAGTCACAAAAGAGCCAAGGTTGCCTACCCCTGGAGTCTTCTCAACTTTGGAGCCTTCTAGAAGGGTTAAGACTAGAAACTCCATCAATCCAATCTAACACGACATGATGAAAATTAAGTTTTAAACATTTACAGGGCAGTTTCATTGGTAAAACTGTACTGGAATATATATATATATATAGGTATATTAGGTATATTACATACCTATTAGATAGCTTGAAATAAATTCTACACTCTTTATTATTACTAGATTAGTCCTTCAACAGTGGGAAGATAATTTATGCTCATTTCAGTGGATTGCAAACTTATTGTAATGTAATTTATAAATTTGCTTACACATGCACACACACAATATATATATATATGTGTGTGAGAATATATATACTGTAATGTTATCTGTAATTTATAAACTAGTTGCTTATAGACACATGCACACACAAACTATATATGTGTGTGCCCGTGTATCTGTAATTTATAAACTAGTTGCTTATAGACACATGCACACACAAAGTATATATGTGTGTGCCCGTGTATCTGTAAGCAACTAGTTTATAAATTACACATAACATTACAGTAAGTCTGCAATCTACTGAAAGGGGCATAAATTATCTTGAAGGACTAATCTATTAATAATAAAGAGTGCAGAATTTATTTCAAGCTATCTATTGCCATGTAATAGGTATGTAAACTTCGGACACACAATATATTAAATCTGTCTTAGAATAAGTTTCTCTTCAAGTCAAATAAATCTCCTTTCACGTGCTAATTGGCTGACAGCAGGGGGAGTGAGGTTATGGGGAGACTCTATGACAACTTTAACAAGCTTAGAGACTGACCTCAAAATAAGTAGCCCTGTTTTGAGGTTGTTTCAACGAAATCCATAAAGGCATCAGAGATAAAAACAGGGGGGGGGGAAACCTGCAAAGAGGACAAAGGGCACATTTGCCATGTTAAGACTCCAAAAGTCTTCCCCTGGTTTTGGTGGAACATTTCCTCAGATTCTTTATGCCTAGGCGTGGTGAAAGTTCCCTGCTCCTTTCCTCTCCTTCCTATTGAATCCCAATCCTGTCAGTCCCAGAAGTGGACATTCTGCACTTTCCCCGTTGTGTTTTAGCACTTAAAAGGGACATCAAAGCCCAAAGACCCAGGAATTGACAACCTGTGTAGGTTTCCGAAGACCTTAAGATGAAAGCCTTTAAAAAGAGCAAAAGCAAGCGGCAGACAGGAACTGGGAGGGTGCAACGATGCTGCGATCTGAGACCGTTGTGAACAGGTACACAAGGAACAGCAGGCAGTCGTGACAATTAATTATTTAAGAAAAGCTGAAGGCGTTCGTGCAGGCTGCGAGGAAAAAAGGGATCTGAAAACCTCACTCTGCGATCCTTCGGTTGGAGGCTCATTAATTAGTATGCTGTGCGAAGGAAAGAAAAGTCTGCCGCTATTTCATGTTCATCTGAGGAGGGGAGATTTGCAATTAAGGCATCTGTTTGCCTTTTATAGCTGACCAAGAAGCCTTTTGAAGGTGTTACAGACTTCAGACACTTTTTCAAAAGATGCCATATGGTCTGCCTTGTCCCTCCTGTTTGGCTGATTATGTAATTGCTGAAGGAGAGGGCTCTGCTCGCCGTTGGAAAACTCTCAGCAAGAAAAAACAGGCATCAGGTTGATGCAGAGTTGAAAGGTTCATATTTAAAACAAAGCTAGGTTCAAAATTGAGGGACAAATTCTGAAGCCAACAAGTTGCTTCCATCCCTTCAAAGCCCATGAAAACTTAAAACTGCATCCTTCTTCATGGTTCCCTTTCAGGAGATATGTGTACCACTCTAACGTTGTTGTTAGTTGCGAAGTCGTGTCTGACCCATCACGACCCCATGGACATTCCTCCAGGCCTTCCTGTCCTCTACCATCTTCTGGAGTCCATTTAAGCTCACGCCCACTGCTTCAGTGACTCCATCCAGCCACCTCATCCTCTGTCGTCCCCTTCTTCTCTTGTCCTCCATCTTTCCCAGCATGAGGCTCTTCTCCAGTGAGTCCTTCCTTCTCATTAGGTGGCCAAAGTATTTGAGTTTCAACTTCAGGATCTGGCCTTCTAAAGAGCAGTCAGGGTTGATCTTCTCTAGGACTGACCGGTTTGAACGCCTTGCAGTCCAAGGGACTCGCAGGAGTCTTCTCCAGCACCAGAGTTCAAAGGCCTCAATTCTTTGGCGCTCAGCCTTATGGTTAACATTAGACAATGCATAAGATCCACCTCTCAGGTAATTAGTCCTTGGCTTTGGATAAACTAAAAAATATTATTTGGGGGAAACTTTAAAGCAAATTGTTATGAAGCTATAAAATCAAATTGGTGCATCTGATTTTTTTTTAAATCTCATTTAAAAGGTGGCATTCTCACATTTAAGATTAAAATAATCTCACCATGTCAAACTACCTTATTTTATATTTTATTATATCGCTAAGTGCTATGCATAAATATTGAAAAAAATAGAGGAAAGAGGCTCGTAGAAAAAAGCAAATAAACCACATAGGAGCCAGGGATTTCACTGATTAGGGCTGAATTTTACGAGAATGACCAGCTTATAGCAAAGAAGCAATTCATTAAGAAAAGCAGGGAAAACTGAACAGTAGAGAAAAGGACAAATCACAAAGTATAATTCCTTCTAACCAGTTTTTAGGCACGGTAATTGCCTGTGTAATCAGAAATCCAGAAAGATGTGGGGTTCCTATTTTTCCTAGACTGTCACGCTAGCACGCAACTCCTTCAATATTAACATCTCCAATTAGACAATTATTTTTAACTTTTTCTGGACATTACATAATTTAGATTGCTTATAGAAAGGCTTTTAAAAGTCATTAGAACACACAATGCCTACTTTAAGACTCCTTATGTTTTATTTATAGCCACTTTGAGCAAAAAATTTTCAAATGCCGAGGCTAAAAATGAAATAAGGGACAGGAGCAAGGGAGAAATATGAATGAAGATAAAATGGATTTCTCAGAGATATTTTATTAAAGTGAGATGAACCATGTGGAAAAGGGGGGGGGGAAATGCAGATCACCAAGCATAACAACAGAAGCCAGCTCAGAAGTAGCCACCTATTTAAAACTGGTGTGACAGTCGAGCAGGCTCAAGGCACAACTGTACAAAGCAAAGCTTGCCTTCTGCAGGGAACAGACAAACTCTAATCGATAACGAGGCTGCTACAAACCGTTGGTCTGCCTAGGCCAGGGGTCTTCAAACTTGGCCCTTTTATGACTTGTGGACCTCAACTCCCAGAATTCCTCAGCCAGGCACACATGCCTGGCTGAGGAATTCTGGGAGTTGAAGTCCACAAGTCATAAAAGGGCCAAGTTTGAAGACCCCTGGCCTAGGCCTTGATTCAGCCATCGCAACAGGAACAGTCTTACTATAGAAAGTGATGGGCTGAAGGTTTCCCTGGCACTCTAGGAGCCTTACTTTCCCTCTTTTTAACGCATCATGGTTCAATTACCTTGTTGACCAAACCTCAGGTGACAGGGCTAAGCAAAACCCCGCAGACCATAACATGGCTTAGTAGCAACACGGGAACTGGGTTTCCCTTTGGGGGGATGTTTTGGGGCACAGGCATCATCCTCCAAAATAGATGGATGTTTGTAAGGCAAGCAAAATCCCTCTTTCCCTATTTTAATTAGAGCTCTTCTCAACTGGTGACTCGACAGGTTTAGTTGGAAGGGCCCGAAGATAGATGCAGTAATAGCAACCCCTTTGTTTTTGAGTGGGCTGCTGGGAGCAGAAGACACATTTAGTTGATGATAGTTTTCTAATTGACTCATTTCCCAAGGTTCAAGGCGAGCAGAGTTGAAAATGCAACATATTCATAACGTTGAATAACTCAGGCTAAAATCTTCATACCCAAGCAACAGTTTGAGAGCTCTAACAAAGGCAGGGCACAGAAATCTCTGTTCAGGAAACGGCGCAGCCCACTTGTACGGGGAAGGCCCCCTACAGCCCCTTATTTCTATTTAGGACACTGTTTCACGCTGCCCTTAGAACATACAGGAAGAACAATAGCTTATAGTCTGTCACACTACAAGCTGCACAAGGCAAGCCAGAGGCCCCGCGTCTTTCGGCTGCTTCCCACTGTGCTCGCTGTCATTCTGATGCACAAAGTTAAACTGGCCCAGAAAATTCCTTACAGGGGGTGCTATTGTTCGCCAGCCGAGTCTTTGCTGTGCAGCCGTACCCGGTCACATCAAACAGGCTAGAAGAATAGGCGGTCGGCTTGTCGGCAATCTTGGATTTTAGAGAGGCACGACTTCCACCAAGGATTGCTGTGTTCCACAACCCTTATTCCCCATTTTTTTTAAATGGGTCAGTTAAAGAAGTAGGATCGATTTTCTGCACGTAATTCAACATATGCGGCTGTTGAGATTGAAGGCCCACTAAAGGGAGGCTCATCGCGTGCAACAACGTTACTAGTCAGAGTGCATCCGAAAGACACAGAAGGTGAGAGAGCCAACCTCTCAGCCCTGCACAAAAGCTGACAGCAGCAGCAAATTAGGAACATCGTGTTTCTGTTTTTCAGAAAGTACCTCTGTGTTTCAGCCGCAAGACCTGGGTTGCCGACTCTGAAAAGGCTACGACATGTTTGTTTTAGATCAACTCACTGTTAGAATAACAAATATTACAAAAGGTTGGTAAGAAACACACAAATGCAACGTGATTAAAAAAAAGTCCAATGCATCTAGTCTCAAAAAAAAAAAAAGAAAAAAAAGAAGAGTCTTCATTGCTTTGATTTTTCTACCTCAAAGCTTGCCAGGGCGAAGACTTTATCCCCAGATCCTGTTGTCAAAGGAAAACAAGCAAACACATTAAAACTCTTTTAGTGTCCCTTCTTTTCACAGCAATCTGACTTCGGATGTAAGAGTTCCTTTCTGTTATATTTTGGCCATAAAATACACCTTTTCAACATCAATTAAGCTTTGAAGCAGGTTCCCCTGGTGGGATAATTTTCCGAAAGTCCGATCAGGTCCAACTAGCACGGCTGTTGCTCAGAGGACGATGGGAACTATAGGGAATAATAGCCGAGGAGATCATGGTTTGTATGGTGATTAAGATCAGTCATGAGACTGACCCTGTGAGACTCTATTTTTTGTGACAACGCAGGACCCTTGTCAGAAGCAGAGAGTGGCTGGAATCTAAGAGCGGCTAAGATTGTAATAATTGCTCAGAATAAAATCATTGTTAACACAGGTCGTACTCAACGCATGGCCATAATTGGACCCAAAATTTCTGCTGCTAAGCAACACGGCTATTTGCCCCATTTTACAATCTTTTTGCCCCAGTTGTTAAGTGGATCTGGCTTCCCCATGGATTTTGTTAGTTGGAAAGTTACAAAAAGTAATCCCAGGACAACACTGCAATGAGCATAAATATGGACCAGTTGTCAAGCAGATGAATTTTGATCATGTGACTGTGGGGATGCTGCAATGGTCATAAGTGTTGTAACTTTGAATGGTCCCTAAACAAAGGGTTGTAAGCCGAGGACTACCTGTGGATGCTTTTGGCCCATTTTTACTTTGTACACTTCTGGCTGGATGCGTTAAGTGGCACCTGAACTGAACACAAGCCAAACCTCATTTAAATGCTCTTAACTGACGTCTGAAGTGAGGAATGGCTGTTTCCTCTTCCAGGGCGTAGGGACTGACAATCCTGAGCCCTGAAAGAGAGGTGGGTGGAAAATGAACCTAAAAAGAAAAAAAAAACTTTACCGAGATCAGTCGAGACCTTCTCAAACTGGTTGAGGGCAGTTCCTGCGTTCGTTGATAGGAAAGCTTCATCATTGGGGGTCAACTAAAAATAAGGAGAAAGAGAACAGGGCTGGCTGTATAACATTTATATGGTTTCTTTGAGGTCACTGAATCATCTGGGATTTAATGGATTCAGCAGATGGAAACAAGAATGCTTTAAGCCAGGGGTCCCCAACCCCCGGTCCGTGGACTGGTACCGGGCCGCGGCATGCCAGGAACCGGTCCGCACAAACAAGCAAAGCCCCATCTGCGGGATGCAGGCAGCACACAAAACCACACACCCTCCAGTCCGCGGAAAAACCTCTCTCCAGGGAACCGGTCCCTGGTGCCCAAAAGATTGAGGATCTCTGCTTTAAGCTGTTAATGATGCCGTCAAATGCTTTAAATCAGGGTATCAAACCGTGACAACTTTAAGACTTGTGGACCTTGCTGGCTGGGGAATTCTGGGAGTCTTTTACAGTTGCCAAGGTTGGACACCTCTGATTTAAAAGATACGGAGAAAAACTCCAGGAAACAAGGAAGAATAGGAAACTGTCCTATTAAAATAGCAATAGAATAGGATTTCGGAATATGTAATACATAAGAATATAGCTGGTTAATCTTACCATCTAAGGCACAACTTCCCCTTCAAGATAAATTACACTATAAGGCCAAACCTAATCAACTAATCAAAGCTGCATTAAAATCTCCTTAACACTGTTCTCTTCAATTCAAGTATTGAGAGCCGACGAAGCCAGAAAAATCCTGTTTTAATTGAGTCCACAAAAAACAAGTCCTATATAGAATTCTAGGGATAGCGGTGGGGGTGTCAGGTTAAAGAGAGCTGGTCAGAGAATAAACCATAGAACAAAGTATGAAGGAGGTGTCATTCCAAAATACCTGTTCTCCCAGCTTCCGGAGTGCCATGAGGATTTCCACCTTCTGCTGAGTGTAGAGGTCTCGTCCCAGTTTCCCCACTATCAGGTCTCTGTCCATCTAAGCAGGAAAGGAGCAGTCATATCAGTCTCCAATTACATTCGTGACGTTTGCGGATAATGTTGGCCTGCACCTGTGACTGGGAATCAGTTCGACACCAAAGGGCTGGGAAGCTGGCCTGAACACTTCTCACTTTGCACCGACGTGGCTGTCGGCTTCCAGAACGATGTCAAAAACATAAAAAGGTGGACATTTCTTCTTCCTGAGCGTGGACATCAACCACTTTACGAATAAGTTCAAGCCAAAACAAATGGACCAAATCAGGCAAGGCTCTGTACACCAGTACAAGATTTAAGCAACCTGCATAAATCGTACAAAAAAAAAAAATTTTTTTTTAACCATGCAGGTTTCCCAGACTCTTATTAATCTCTTTAAAAAGTAAGATTAAAAAAGGATGGGGAAATAAAGCCCAACATTTGGAGAGCCCAACTCTCCAAACGAAATCATTTTGCACTGGCATCAGTCTTGCCCAAAAAAATGTTTTTGTTTTTCAGGAGAAAAGTGGTAACTCTCTCAATAAAGAAGAGCATTTGTTTGTTTGGGGGTGGGGGGGAAAGGAAACATACTCACCTCAGCCAATCTTGTCCGCAACTGCCCAGGCTGTTTTTTGGCAAACATCCTGATGACTTCTGGAGTTTTAAAAGCCTGGCTAATGGCTGCTTGTATAGCCTAAAAGATAAACATTTAACATGTAAACAACTTGTAGCAAATATCAATAGACAAGGTTACTTCTTGTTACATGGATATAAATGTTACCACGAGTTATTTCTATGACTAGCAAGGGGCTCCTAATCTCGAAGGTCCTTTGCTATCGGCACATGGGATGCTTCCTGTTAATTAGTCACTTAAAAAGCAGCCACCCTTTGCCCTTTTTAATATCTGAAACATTAATTTATAAAACCAGACCGCCCTACACTTCTGCAGTCAAGAACCACAGTTGCAGCAAGTTAAGATGTCTTCCATGGCCATTCCCAAAGGTGCTTTTTCAGGAGGCAACTGGATGTTCTTGTTCCATGGTCATTATTAATGACCATGGAAGCATTAATTAATCTTGACTGTACTAGACTTGTCAATCCTCTAACTAAGTTACATGAGTACTACTGTCTGCTATTTGTACAGTCCATCCCCTGCAAGGTGGAGAAAGGTGTTGCAAATTCCTTGACTCTGCAAAGTCAGCTGCACTAAGCGACAAGGCTCAGGCAGGTGGGCTTCCTGCAGATGTCAGTGTCTCTAAGGTTGTAGTGAAGAAGGCTTAAGATACCCGTCCCTCCATTGCTTTGAACAAAAGCAATGAGACTCTAGAAAGAGTGCAGAGAAGAGCAACAAAGATGATTAGGGGACTGGAGGCTAAAACATAAAAGGAACGGCTGCTGGAATTGGGCATGTCTGGTTTAATGAAGAGAAGGACGAGGGGGGACATGATAGCAGTGTTCCAGTATCTCAGGGGCTGCCCCAAAGAAGAGGGAGTCAAGCTATTCTCTAAAGCGCCTGAAGGCAGGACAAGAAGCAACAGATGGAAACTCATCCAGGAGAGAAGCAACCTAGAACTAAGGAGAAACTTCCTGACAATTAGAACAATTAACCAGTGGAACTACCTGCCTCCAGAAGCGGTGAATGCTCCAACACTGGAAGTTTTTAAGAAGAAAACGGACAGCCATTTGTCTGAAATGGTACTATAGGGTTTCCTGCCTGAGCAGGGGGCTGGACTAGATGACCTCCAAGGTCCCTTCCAACTTTATTATTATTATTATTATTATTATTATTATTATTATTATTATTATTATTATTATTATTATTATTATTAAAAGGAGCCTAGAAAGGTGCTACCCATTGCAGGAGACATTTGACCTCCAGTCCCCCAAATCAAGTCCCAATACTCACCAGCTGCATCCCACCCAGCTCATCTACCAAGGTCATATTGCCAGAGATAATTTTTTTCAAGGAATCGTTGAACTCGCTCAGCTGCTCGAGGGTCTCCTTCTTGGTTTCTTCGTATTCACTGGCATCCAGTTCATCTCTGCAAGGGAGCCAGTCGCAGATTGATTTCGCCTGCAGTTAGCAGCCTGTACAGGTAGTCCTCGACTTAACGCCCACAATTCAGCCCCAAGTTTCTGTTGCTAAGTGAGGCATTTGCGAAGCGAATTTTGCCCCGCAGTTTTTACGATTGCGCTTGCCACGGCTGTTAAGTGAATCTCTGCAGTTCTTAAGTTAGTAACACGGTTGTTAAGACAGTCTGGCTTCCCAATGACTCTGCTTGTCAGAAGGTCGCAAAAGGGGATCGCGACACTGCGACCGTCATAAATAGGAGTCAGTTGGCAAACGTGACTTTTGATCGTGTGACCACGGGGATGCTGCAGGGGTCATAAGTGTGGAAAAAACGGTCCTTAGCCCCTTTTTTCAGTGCCGTTGTAATTTCAAACGGTCCCTAAGTGAACTGTTGTAAGTTGAGGACTACCTGTATTCCCGACCTAGGGTAACTAACCTACCTATAGCAGGAATGGGTAAACTGAGGCAGCAGGGCTACTACACACAGCAGCAAATGGCTTCTTGGGGGCACCGGAAAATATTTAGCTACAGATGGCAACACAATGGCAAACACAAAATTGTGGTACACTCTTTTTTAAAAAAAATCATTAAAAAAATCCCTTCAAGCTTACACATACCCAAAGCCCTTCCACGATGCTTAACGGAAGCGTGGAAGCAGTCATTTGGCCAAGTAGAAGAATCCACACCCCACACCTCAACTCCAGAGCTGATAAAACTCTGGAATTTGCCCCTCTCGTCTTTGGCAAGGATGCTGTTGCAGACTAGTCATGTCAAAAAAAGGGGGGGCGCCCCTCTCCCTTACCTGCACTCCTCCAGATCCTGCAGCTGTTGCATCAGCCTGTCCAGCTGCTCTTCCAAGTTCTGCTTCAACTTGCTGGTCTCGATTGTTCCCCTCGAAGCCATTTTTAAGGCATGTGCTGCGGACGTCTGTCAGAGACAAAAGCGCGGTCGGCTAAACGAGAGGAGACAGCCCTGCCCACGGGATCATAGGTGGAAACTGACTCTTTTAATTCGGGGGAAAAAAAAATAAATACAAAGGGGAAAGGCTGCCATTTAGCATTTTATTTAGACAAAGGGGAAAGATCAGAAGGGCGGGGGGGGGGCCCTGCCCCATAGGAACATATCTCTCTCTCCTCTCTGAAAGACATTTGGGGGGGCCAAGAAAAATACACCGTCAGGATTGAGGGGTGCCCTCCAGTTGCTATTTTTTTTATTTATTTTAGGAATGGGGTGTACAGTCTTGGCATAGGGCGAAGAGGGCGGGGGTCCTCCCCAGGGATTCCAGGTGCTGGTTCCAGCTTCGGGGCTTCCAAAGCCCTCGCGCGGTTCCACCCACCCCCCCTTTCCTATCCGACAGCCCCCCTCCCTCCCTATTAAGCCCCCCCTCCCTCCCTATTAAGCCCCCCCTCTCCCGCATTGCCACGGCCTGGCCTGACCCCTCCCTCCCTTACCCACGCACGCTCCTTCCTCTCCGACCTCCCGGGTGGATGAGAAGGCGAACCCCGCCCACTCCCCCAATCACATCTCCTCCGGGCAGTGGGGAGGAGGGAAGCTACTGCCGGCAGGACCGTCCCCCGCTCACTTCCGGTCGGGGAGCCCTGGGGGAACCTTCCTGGGCGTCGGACGCCGTCCCCACTTCCTGGCCGCGCAGCCAATCAGGACGCCGCTTTCGGTGGAGCCGCTTCTCCGCCTCTCGGCTGTTCCGACCACGTCGTTGAGTTCCAGGCTGAAGCCGTTGGCGACCGGTAAGGCGTCTTTCGGGAGCCTCCCAATTTTGGGGTGGGGGGGATGCAGGAGGGGTGGGCGATCCTTGCCTGCAACGGCGAGCCATGATAGTTTATTCCGCGGCCTGAAGGGCGATCAGAGGCTAATAAAAGAAATATAAAGGTCTGTTTTTCCGTAAGAAAAAAAACCGAGCGGTCCCTGATCTTCGGGATGCACTTAGACTAGTCAAGTCAAGTGTCAGATCGACTCTTCTGGTGGCTCCCGAGGCAAGGATGCTGTTGATGTAACCATCTTCTGGAAGTTTTATTCTTGACCAGTTCAAGGGCTGAAGAAGTCCGATCCCGCTGACCTTTTCTAGACCAGCCAGGATCCGTTAGATGCCACCCTTTAGAAGGGTGCGGCTGGAAGCTTGCTTCATAATACCCCAGATTTGGCCATGCTAAAGAATTGGGGAACTAGGCGTAGTTCTCCTTTCTCTATTATAAAAGCAGGAGCAACGATCTAGTACTCATTTATGGAGCTTTCCTAGATCGGGTCTTTCCTAGACAGGGCTGGGTGGAGATGGGCAACCGCAAAAGCATTTTTTTTTTAACGTGTTCCTTGTTTACTAAGGAGAATTGGGTAGGTTGCTCTTAGGCCATATTCTTAGAGCAGTTTGACACTGAACACACCAGCTTTGAGGGTATTGGAGCAATTTTGTTTCGTTGCTCAACAGGTGCATGGAGAAGAAAATGAAGTGGTCCAGGGATGTGTATTTATATTCATTGATTTAAGGGTCTTCTATCTAGACCACGGCTTGTTACAGTATCCTGTAGAGTTAGTCAGTGGCACATTTTTCCTATCGTAGTGTGAAAGCTTTACGAAGCTCTTGCCATTTCCTTTGAGGAGATTTAGGCTGCTGCAGTCACGCTGTGTGTGAATGGACGGCATCATCAGAATTTCAAAGCTACTCTCTCAGCTGCAGCCTCCAAAGGCGATTCTTCCAAGCAGGGTGATCATACAGTGAGAAAAGATACATATTCTTAAATTCCGTGGTTGAGAGAAGTGCCTAGAATTTAATCCTGATGCTATCTAAATCTAAACATTTGTTAAAAAAATGCTGCTTGAGAATAGGTCATCGTGGGCCCACCTTGTAACTTTATTTAAATTAAACCATCCCCGGAATCACAAGAGACTTCCATAATTCCACCGTCAGTGGGCTTCAGGGTCTTTCACTGTGCCAGCTGCCAGGGATGTTCTTGTCTCCTCCTTGACAAAGAAAAGGAAACCAAGGCAGAATCCGGCCACAGCAGAAAGATTTGTTACCGAAGCTTCATGGGTCTTGCCCGGTCCAGTGGTCAGCACACAGCCAATCAGATGTGCCACAGGCAGCCACACCCAGACACTGGCTCATAACAGATTCCAGTCTTGGCTTTCTCGTTCAGCGTCAGTCCAGGAGAAATGACATTGGCAAGCCAGAATAATCCCAGGAAGGAAAAATAAGCTGCGAGGGATAAAGTGCCACAGTGTCAAGGAAGGAGACGTATTTTCTGTCCAAATGCAAAAATCACAGGTACAGCATGACAGGTAGTTCCTCGACTTAGATCATCACACAGGGATGCTAAAACAGTCACGAGTGCGGAAAACGGTCAAAAGTTACATGCCGTAACTTTGAACGATCTCTAAACGAATGGTTACAAATTGAGGACTACCTGTATGCCTTGTTTTCTGAACGCGTGGATGCTAACCCAACGATTATACTGGTGAGAGAAGATGGCAATTTTATTCCTGCATAGCTGCAGAGCAGCAAATTAGGGAAGGCTTCAGTAGCCAATCTTGGAGTAGATTGTGCAGAAAACAAGATTTGCTCCGAGTATTAAATAAGGCAAGTTTGGGCACAGACTTTAAGAGCTGAATGTGATCCTTCCCTTTTCCTCCCATTTTGCTTCTGTGCCTCAGCACAAGTTGAACCGCAGAAGACAAGGGTGTGGAAATTAGCTGACTTATAACAAAGGACACACCCCTCCAGATAGCACACTGCCAACTTTTTGTGTAAAGAGAAATCACAATACTTACTGGCTGATATTATGCTAGCCACTGACAGAGCCATCGAGAGATAATAAAGCTCAGGCGTGGTTCTGGCCTAGGAAAGACATAGATGATTTATGATAAAGGAATTAAACCTGTTTTCTAAATCTTTTAATTTAAGCGGTCTGTATTCAGAATTACCCTCCGGGGCGAGGAGTTAGGATTAGGATTCAGAACCGACGTTCTTTTAAGATCCTTGAAAATCAGTCTAGTGCAAACACTCCATGGTAAATGAAGTCCAGCTTAAAAAATCCAGCTTGTGTCTAACTGAGATACAGATAGTTCTCTCCCCACCCCCCTCCAGTGGGATGAAATCCGATGGAGACACGAGACATTACATACACACTGTGGGGCCAAGGCAGTGAGCAGAGTGATATAAGCGCCTTCTGCAAAAGAGGCAAGTCCAAAAATCGAGATGGCAGCTCTCAGCTCCCATGGGATGTGTTGCGTCGTGGCTAAGATTAAAGTCAGCCCTGAAAGACAGTAAGAGGGAGAATTAGCTTATGGAGATGGACATGCAGGCAGAAGCAATCGGTAGAGCTTTGGGCGGTGCTTAATGGCATCCCTTGCAGTCTGTTCACTGTTCACGTCCCCCACTGTCTTTTTTTCTGCAGCACAAACGTTTAGATTTGTGAAGCCAAAAGAGCGACATTAAGGCTTGGAGCAACGCATAAACCCAGTCTACCATGCTGAGGGGCAACATTGTGATAGTTCTAAGGAGATGTGGGGATAGGCACGCATCCTGATGGCCTAAGGCAGTGGTTCTCAACCTTTTTAATGCCGCGACCCCCAACCGGTCGTAAGTCGAGGACTAAACCGGTCGTAAGTCGAGGACTAAACCGGTCGTAAGTCGAGGACTACCCAACTGGTCGTAAGTCGAGGACTTTCCCTGCCCAGGAGCGCCATGCATGCGTGGTTCCGCCCCCTGTGCCGGCCGAGGCGTAGCTGGCAAGCGGCAGAGACGGAGCAGGCCGACCACCAGCTGGCCCAGCCCAAGGGAGGTAAGGCACCCGCCGGAAAAGGGGAAAAAAAATGGCGGACAGCCTTGCTTGGCGACCCCCGTGAAATGGTCGATCGACCCCAAATGCGGTCGCGATCCATAGGTTGAGAACCGCTGGCCTAAGGTGAGCCACAGGCACCCATCTTGCAGGCGTTGTCATCTCGCGATGCTCTGGAGAGCTGCCGGAGCCTTCTTCACACACCCGTAGCAAAGAACGTCAGGCTGATGCTTCCCACCAGGTTGTAGAGAAGAGGCTGGTTGCAGTAGTGAGCAGATTTAGGTCTGAGAAACAAGACAGGGAGAAAGGCGGGCCAGTAACCACGTGTTCCGAGTTCATAAATAGCCGCTCTTCAGATGCAAGTTTGGAATATACAGTTCTGATATTTTATACAAAGGTTTTGCACAGGAGTTATCTTTTGGCAGGCCATGCTGAATTCTGCTGAATGTACAGTGTGTGTTATATGTACTTTTGCACAGTTTTGCCTTTCACTTGCCTCATTTCCACTAGTGCCAAGCACTCTGCTTTTCCCAGTGGGAAAAGTCCTTTGTTTCTCTCCTAACTTGCATGTGCAATCTGCTTATTTTCAGACTTGCCTTTGAAATCCCCTTCCCTGCTATAACGTCCAATGGGTACCTAATTTCCTAATGCTAAATTGAAGAGTCTTTATTAAAGGCACTGCTTTCAAGGCCTGGTGATCTTTTTACTACCAATTTAGTCTAAAATATCTCTTCCCACCACAGCCTTCCCTTAAATTTCCAGCCCTTCAAGCTTGGAATTTGAACCTCCAGGGGGAAAAACAGGAAGTCATCTGTTAAGTCTCTAACGGAGACTTTCACCAAAATAAACCCCAATCCGACCCCCAAAACACTCATGGGACGGGCTGCAAGTTCTCTCTTCTCAAGAACGCCTCAGGATATTCCAGTTGGCTGCCCCCGTGTCCTAGAAGGTATGCAAGCATGTAAAGAGACTGTCAAAGAAAAAAAAAATGAAATTCCACTTAATACCGTAGGAGGACGTAGAATTGGAGGAGAAGACTGGCAGTCCCAAGGGCAAAAACCACAAGTTGTCTAGCGAGAAGAACAAGGAAATAAAAACAAGAGACCAATCAGTACCTTTACGGTTTGGAAATATATCATCATCATCCTGTACATTTGATAGTTAACAGCAAGCAGCCTGGAGTGGTGAATTTCATTCTTGCAATTTCCACAAATGAAAACTTATCCAAAAGATTGGACAAAGTTATAGGTCAGTGATGGGGAGCCTTTTAGAGACCGAGTGCCCAAACTGCAACCCAAAACCCACTTATGCATCCTCGAATGCCAGGTGGGTGTGGCCCATTGGGTGGGTGTGGCCAATTGGGTAGGCATGGCTGCAGTGGTAACACCAGACTGGGTGGGACTAAAAAGTTCAATCAATCAATTCCAACTTTGCAAGATCTTTTTTTCCCCCGTGAGAAGTTGAAATTGACTGATTGAACCTTTTTTTTTTTTTTTTTTTTTGCACATGGCGACGGAGGCCTAAAGCGAAAAGGTTTTTAAAAACCCAGCTGAAGGCCTAGGACTGGGGCGACGGCGCGCGTGCCCACAGAGAGGGCTCTGAGTGCCACCTCTGGCACCCGTGCCATAGGTTTGCCACCACTGTTATAGGTCCAAGGGATAAGTCGGGTGGGTGGGTGGGTAGGTGGCAGAGGTTTTTATGCCTGGTTTAAAGGGTGCAAAGGTGGTCTGCTTGCTGTCACTTCTGATTGTGTCAAATAAGACCTCTCGCACAGCATTATAAAACAGGCATAAATTCATTCTTTTTCCCCACTTAACTCTGATGTGCGTAACTAGGATGGCGCTCTTACTGCGCCATGTAAAAACACAAGCAGTCAGAACGAAGAACGAAACCAGGTTTAATTCTGTGCCCGAGTTAACTCCCGAGTTGTGGCATCTTACAGTCTGAATCGCAGATGCTTTGGTAGCCCTCGGCTGAAGTGATGGGCAGTGTGGGCCAGGCAGAAGTGAATCATGACTGCTCCTCAAGAACCTGGCAAAAAAAAGACACGCGGGATTGTAGCATTAGTTGTGTAACTGTAAATCCCAGATTAAAGGCCTGTCCTTGTTGCACCCTTTCCAAGGAAAAGCCGGCCCTTGGTAAAGAAATATTTTCTTTGACATTGGCAAAGTCTTTGATCCAGGCTCAGCCTTTCCAGGTGAAGTAATAAAAATAACAATAGTAATGATGATGATGATGATGATGATGATGATGATGATGATGATGATGATGATAATAATAATAATAATAATAATAATAATAATAATAATAATAATAATAATAATAATAATAATAATATAATGTTGGAAGGGACTTTGGAGGTCATCTAGTCCAACCCCCTGCTCAGGCAGGAAACCCTATATCATTTCAGACAAATGGCTGTCCGGTCTCTTCTTAAAAACTTTCAGTGTTGGAGCATTCACCACTTCTGGAGGCAGGTTGTTCCACTGGTTAATTGTTCTAACTGTCAGGAAGTTTCTCCTTAGTTCCAGGTTGCTTCTCTCCTGGATTAGTTTACATTCTGTAAGCAGGTTTTAGCTGGGTTAATACCTTGCACTGAACCACAGATTATCTGCACTCAGACAACACACAAAGATTGCTATCCCAGTTGATAAACCACTAGGCTTTAAGGCTAAGCCAAAAATCCGGTGTGTGAATTGTGGTTTTGACCAAGCACCGCTCAACTCTCTCTCTTGTGTCCTCGCCAGTCGGAGGAAAGTTGCTTCTGAATATAGGTCATCCTTGGCTTACCACCGAGCATCAAATTTTTGTTGCTTGAGTGTTCAGGGAGTTTTGCCCCATTTTATGACCTTTCTTGCAACAGTCGTTAAATGAATCACTGCAGTTGTTTAGCTAGTAACACGGTTGTCAAGTAAATTTGGCTTCCCCCGTTCATGTTGCCTGTCATATAACTATAACTGTCATAAATACGAGTCAGTTGCCAACGGTCTGAATTTTGATCGTGTGAATGCTGGAAGGGCCGTGTGAAAAACGGTCATTAAGTCCCTTTTTTTCAGTGCCATTGTAACTTTGAACGGTCACTAAACAAAAGTGTTGTAAGCCGAGGACTACCTATGCGGAAGCTGTATTTTGAGCCCTCCTGGCATGGCTTCTTACTAGGGTAGTCTCCTTCTCTGACCCACTCAGCCTCCTTCAACCCGTTGCCCCCAAGTGGCGTTGGGACGGCAGCTCCCAGAATTCCCACTCAGCACTCACCTTTGGGATTCTGGGACCTCATCCTCCCAGATGCTCCTGTACATGTGAAGAGTGCATTGGAGTCTTGTAGGAACACTGGGACAAAGAAAGGAGTGAATATCAGTATATTTTTCTTCCTCGGTCTGCCCTCCCATCCTTACCTGGAAGCTCCAGGTGACCATCTGAGCTTCGGCTGACCTTCTGTCTCTGGGGAAGGAATCGGATGATCCACCTCCAGCCCCTCCCTGGGTGGATCATCCCCTTCCCACTTTTAGAAGCAGCCCCCCAGATTTAGATGTTGCTGCTGTCCAGCCACAGAGGTGACTGGCTAAGGCTGGGTTTTTATATATATATATATATTTGTGGCAGCCAGGGATCATTTTTCCTACATTCATTATTCAGACTTTTGCTTCTGGCCTTGGCGAATGCACGTCCGAGACCTTTTGAAATTGGAAGGGTGGAATTCAACCCAAGATCACCTGGCTTGGATTGCTGTTTCGCTCCTGTCTTGATGGGCCTAAGAAAGAACTGAAATTAAAAGGAATGCAACTATAAAAAAAAAACACAGCCCTGGGAAATCTATTCAGCAGGGGTGGGGGGAAATGAAGAGTGAAATATTACTGATCCCTTTAAAAGCGATCAAATTATGACGGTACTGTGTTGATATTAATAAACTAGAATAGATATTCCATCTGTTGTGTTTAAGGCCTGTCGTCCTTTAGTGGCTGGTGTGTGCACAGAAAAAGGTAATTAATTCTGTAGCGCAGCAGCCAAAACCCCTTTAAAATTGGGCTTTCCAAAATGGACGGGCTGCGTTGGCAAAACTTGAGCTTACGGTTACCTAGCTTCGTATTCATGAGGGCCAGAAACCTGGTTTTTCTTCACAGAGCAGGCTGATCACCCTTCCTCTCCTTTTTACAAAAGTGGCAGAGCTGGCTCGATATCCGAAGACTGCAAATTTTCAGGGTCTCCTTTCAATCTTCCTCCCTCGCACGGAACCGATTGCTTTTCTACGCTAGGAAGAGGACACAACTTCTCTTACTGTTTTTTTTTTTTTTTAATCGTTCCGGTGGCAACAATTTAAAAAAAAAGTTTTTCTTCTTTTCTTTTTTTAACCTACCCTTTTCCCCTCTTCCCTCGCAGCCTGTGCCCGTTGTGACTCGCTCCTTCCCCAGCAAAAGCGACTCCAGACGAGGCCGATGGAGGATCCCGACAACCGGACGGAAGTGGTCCTACTGGCCTGCGGCTCCTTTAATCCCATCACCAACATGCACCTTCGGCTTTTCGAGCTGGCAAGGGATCACCTGCAGGAGACAGGTAAAACTGGGTGTGTGTGTGTGTGTTTGTCACCAGCCACGATGGAGGTGAGCCTTGTGGTCCAATGGGCCAGTTGCCCCTCTCACCCAATGCTTTGGACTGCAACTCCCATTATCCCCAGTCTGTCTAGACTGGACAATAAGACCTACGACGGGGCGTATCTGGAGGGGGGACGTTGCTGTGGATGTTTCTGAAAAGGAAGCCGTTGCCTCCATAAGTCTCCCTTTTCTGCCTTCTCTCATATTCCATGGCAGGTTGGATTTGATGGCAATCAAGCCCTTTGCAATTAATTGCCCGGCTGCAACTTTTTTGGCTCTGGTGCTTTTCTTTCCCAATTTCTAAAGGCACCATGGGTTCCGTTTTCACTCTTTCTCTGCCGGAAATACATGAGTAATAATGAATAGGAACCACAGGCAGTTGCAGTGCATGGCTATATTTTTAGCCTCCCTTCCCTCCCTCCCTCCCCCTCTCCCTCCCCGTCTCCCTCCCTGTCTCCATCGGCCTCTCCCTCCTCC